ATGACACCTACCCGCTGTCCCCGCCGCAGCGCGACGCCCAGGGCCTGCGCTACCGCATCGGCCTCATCGCCGACCTGGACACGCGCTCCCGCCGCCCCGAGGAGCACACCTGGTTCAGTTACCTGAAGAAGGGCTACCTGGTGCTGTCGGACAGCGGGGACAGCGTGACGGTGGAGTGGGACAAAGACGAGAGCGTGCTGCAGTCCCACCTGGCTGAGAAGGGCAGGGGCATGGAGCTCTCCGAGCTGGTCGTCTTCAACGGGAAGCTGTACACCGTAGACGACCGGACAGGAGTGGTCTACCAGATTGAGGGCAACAAGGTGGTGCCCTGGGTGATCCTGCCGGACGGGGACGGCACGGTGGGGAAGGGTGAGCTCCCCGATCCTGCCCTGCCCACACAGAGCAGGAAGGCCCTTCGCTCTTTGCGGCTCCCTGGGGTTGCACCCTCAAGGAATCACAGAACCACAGAACCCCAGAGTGGCAGGGGTTGCAAGGGACCTCTGGACATCATCTTGTCATGCAAGGTCACCCACAGCAGGGTGCCCAGGGTGGCATCCGGGTTTGGAATCTCGGGTTGGGAATCTCTCCAGAGGAGACTCCCCAGCCTCTCTGGTTAGCCTGCTCCAGGCTCGGCCACCCTCACAGGAAAGCTTTTCCACCTTCTTTGTAACCCTGTAGCCTGGGTGGGACTGGGGCAGTTCCCTGTGTGAGGGAAGGTGCTGGGTGTCTTGTGTGGTGTCCGGGGGAGCAGGGGCAGGTCTGATGTCCACGTGCTGGCTGAGCCCCCGCTCACGCCGTGCTCTCCATTGCAGGTTTCAAGGCAGAATGGCTGGCGGTGAAGGACGAGCACCTCTACGTGGGGGGACTGGGCAAGGAGTGGACCACGACGACGGGGGAGGTGGTGAACGAGAACCCCGAGTGGGTGAAGGTCATTGGCTACAAGGGCGACGTGGGCCATGAAAACTGGGTGGCGAACTACAACGCGCTGAGGGCGGCGGCGGGCATCCGACCCCCAGGTACTGAGCGAGGCTCCCTCCTGCCACCCTGTGCCCCGTGCCCACTGTGGGCACCGGGGCCAAGGTCTCCCTCCCTGCAGATAGTGTGACTGGTGTGAGATTTAAAGGATGCTGGAGGCCAGAGACTTCCCCTGCCCTGGCT